AATTCTGCATCCTTCCCTTCAAGGCTCAGGGGTCCAAGATTATCTTCTGTGTCTGTGTTAATTGGTTTCCCTTTTCTTTGTTGAAGAGGTTCTGCAATCCTTCTGCCTAGTCCGCCATCTTGCCGGAACCCCGATCTTTCATCTTAAGCACTTGAAAAAGATCTTTTGCAACTGATTTGCCCAGTGCCACACATCTTCTTGTGATGTCTTGACTGCTGCTTCCATTGGCATTGATTGTAGAACCCAGTAATATGAAGTCTTTGACAACTTCAGTCATTTTTCCATCTATCATGCTGCTTATTGGTCCAGTTGTGAGGATTTTTGTTTTCTTTATATTGAGGGGCAATCTGTACTGCAGACTGCAGTCTTCATCAGTAACTGCTCCAAGTCATCCTCACTTTCAGCAGGCAAAGTTGTGTCGTCTGCATATCTCAGGTTGTTAATGAGCCTTTCTCTAATCCTGATGACACGTTCTTCTTCATATAGTCCAGCTTCTTGGATTATTTGCTAAGCATACAGATTGAATAAGTATGGTGAAAGGACACAACCCTGACACACTCCCTTCCTGTTTTTAAACCATGCAGTAACCACTTGTTCTGTTTGAACCACAGCCTCCTGGTCTATGTACAGGTTCCTCATGAGTATAATTTGAGTGTTTTGGAATTCCCATTCTCTGTGTTATCCACAATTTGTTATGATCCACACAATTGAAAGCCTTTGCATAATCAATAAAACACAGGTAAACATCTTTCTGGTTGTTCTGATTACCTGGTGCTGCTCTGACAAGAATATACCACAAATTGAATGGCCTTAAAAAACAGGAGTTTATTCTCTTACAGTTTGGGAGGCTAGACGTCAGAGTTCAAAGTGCCAGGCTCTAGGGGTTATGTAAAAGCCCCTTGACCTTGGGCTTCAGCTCTGCCTCTTGCTCCCAGCCCACTGAAGGTAGAGGCTTTCCTTCACTCAGACAGCTACTGGCTGCTGAGGCTAACAAGCCCAAGGTCGACACATAAAATGGCACAGTCCTGATGTTACCAAACCACATGGCTGGCCATTCAGTCCATTGTAAGTCCCAAGGTCGGCAGAGCATGGCAGGATGCTGAACAATGACACGGCTACATGCAGGGTCCAAGCGTGCCATAAGCTAGAGACCATTCCCAAAACTATTTCGTATTTACTGGAAGCAGACCACATACCCAAAGGCAGCTACTCAGCTGCTCACAGTAGATTCCACCATGGAGTTGATTACCAGTCTCAGCATGGGGAATATTACATCCAGCTGCCCAGCCACTCAACCAGGCCTAGTCAAGTTGACACACAAACTTCACCACCACACTGGTATCCTTTGCTTTCAGCCAAAATCCATCTGACATTAACTATGGTATCCCTTGCTCCACATCCCCTTCTGACTCTATCTTGCATTTCTGGAAGTTCTCTGTCAACCTACACTAAGACAGGCAAAAGTAAAAGTACACCTACAAGTGTAGGTTCACTTCCATGTTTAATCTGCCATGAGCAGTTAATCAGCTGAAGGGATGTGGCCTGCTTCCAGTATATATGGAAAGGATCCTGCATTTGGCCCATCATCATCTCCAGTTCCTTCACTTGAACCAGTGGCCTGCCATGTTGCCTGTTGATCTTGGGATTGTTGCCTTTGTAGCCTGTGAGCCAACAATCTGCCAGTCTTGGATTTGTCAGCCTCAGCAGCCAGTAGCATCCTATACTTCCTCCCAATCTTGAGTTCATCAGCCTCTGCAGCTGCATGAGTCAGGAGAAGTCTCCAAGGGGCCTGGAAGATAGAGTTGAAGCCCAAGATTGAGGGACCTCCACCTAGTCCCTAGAGCTGGCATGTTGAACCTGGACTTCTAGCCTAGTCTTTCCTAGAACCAGCACTCTAAATTTAGACATCTAGACTTCTAAACTGTATGAGAATAAATTTCAGTTTGTTAAAACCATCCATTTGTGGTATTTCTATTATAGCAACACTAGAGAACTAACACAGAGACCAAAAGGCCAGCATTTGCCCAAACACATAGTTCAGAAGGGGTGGGAAAGATGGGCAAATGAAATGGGAGAACCCAATGAGGAAGTAGGGAGAGTGCTATTACATTGAGGGAACTGCAACTAATATTATAAAACAGATTACATATAAATTGTTGGATGGGAAACTAATGTGTTCCATAAACTTTACCCAAACCACAATAAATTGTTTAAAAAAAAATTTCCCATGGAATCCAGAATTTCTGGAGCCATGAAGGCTAGATGAACCCCCCAAAATGAAGGTGAGTATGGTTGCACAACATAAAGAATGTAATTGACGTCACCGTATTGTGCATGTAGAAATTGTTGAATTAGTATATGTTGTGCTATGTATAGTCTCCAAAACAAGAAAAAATAAATTATGGAAAAAAATTATAATAGGGAAATGATGAAAATGTACTTCCTACAAAATTTAAATGATATCCAAGCATTCAGTGTCTTGAGTCATATTAACATCCTTGTTTCCCTTGCTAACACTAATGAATCACTTGTTTAGATTGCTGTAAAATTACCTGGGCTTGAGTGTGTTGTCCTCTTGATAGAGAACAATAGAATAACTCAGAATCTCCAGAAAGTAGTTTGTGTTTACAGAGGGAGAACAAACACCATGACTGGTTTCTTTTCACAAGAAATTGTTAATATTCTTTATGGTGCCAAATAGGCTTCTACAACATTATGACTGAAACGTATTGGATGATTTTATGGAATAATACTATTCAAAAGTTTAACATTGATTTGTTTTTCAAGTTCAAAACCTTCATGTATTTGACCCCTTAACTGCTAATAAATTTTCTTTATGGAAAGATACATTTGAATTATTTTACAGGTCCCAGATTATTATGACATCATCAAAAACCCTATTGCCTTAAATATAATTCGTGAGAAAGTAAACAAATGTGAATATAAATTAGCATGTAAGTAATTTGTGTTTTTCTTTCATGTTTATTTTCATTTAAAGAGATAGACTGTTTTGCCTTTGATTTGAATGATGTATTTAAATGTAGTTGTATAGATGGCATCCCAAGAGGTCCCTAAAAAACTCATCAGTGTGTGTAGAAGTAAAATAGGGATGGGGATTGAATGAGTTAAAGATATTTTAGAGAATCTGATCTTAAAAAGAATGTTCTTTGCAGTTACACATATCATAATATATGTAATTATATAATAACATAGTTTAATTTTAAACAATTTTAAACCTCAATTCTGTTACTTTGTTTCATAGTCTTTGATTACTAAAGAAAAAAGTAGGCTTGCTTTTTTTAATGAAGTTTCCAGATAGGATAAGAATAAAAATTAAACTTATAATTTTTAATATAAACATTTGTATGCTTTGATTCTAAACTTATTTTCTTCCTTTTTAGCTGAGTTTATTGATGATATTGAGTTAATGTTTTCGAACTGCTTTGAGTACAACCCTCGTAACACAAGTGAGGCAAAAGCTGGAACTAGGCTTCAAGCATTTTTTCATATTCAGGCTCAAAAGCTTGGACTCCACGTCACATCTGGTAATGTGGATCAGGTTAGCATACCACCAACTGCAAAAAAGTCACGAATCTAATTTCTCTTAAAGGATATGTTTAACAAGGGAAAACAAATTGTTTGTGAAAATGGAACATTAAATCATGCTCTAAAGCAAACATGTATACAGCAATAACAACTGATTGACCACACTGAAGTGTGGCCTGCACTATATTCTCAATTTTAATATTAAGCACTCAGGAGAATGTAGGAAAGATTTCCTTTGCTACAATTTTGCTCAGTATCTAATAAGTTTAATAGATGTATTAGATACAGTACTGGTTTACAGAGGTTTTTGTACATTTTTTAGATCATTCATGTGTCCGTATAGCTTGGAAAATATTTTTTCACCTGTGATTTATTTTGTCATTGATATTTTTTTAGAATTGTGACATTAAGAAATATTTATCTACACAGATGAATCTTCTGCCATATGACAATTTAGAAAAATGTGTGTATGTCTAAGAATTGTTTAAGGAGCACATTGTTTCAACACTACACATGAATGAATCCAATTTTATATCATTTAAGTTCTGTACCAGTATTGGCTGGAGGTATTAAGTCTGAGTTTATTAATTAGATATTTATTTAGCATTCAGAGTAATTTGTGAATTTGTTTTGTATTTATAAAATTTGTACCTGGAAAATGTTCTTTAATTTTTTAAACATACTGTGTTTTGTTTTATTTCCTTAATGATCAATCATAAAAAGATAACACCTTCCTTTTCCCTAACAATTCTTTCAGTTTCACAGAATTGTAATATAAGTTTCTATGTACAACTTTATAAGTGTACAAATAAAATAATACTTTTTTTTTCAAAGTATTCTGAATTTCTGGAATTCTTACAAATCCTAATTAATTATACTTCTGTATGTGCCTGAGTCTCTATAGTAGCGATTCATGGCTTTACTGCCTGAGCTGTTGAAGTAGAAGATAACCTCCATCAGCAAAAGTGATTTTTCTATGGGAGGGATTCTCATTAAAAAAGGAAGTTTGGAAAATACCTACCTAGTTAAGAAACACAGCTTTGAAAATTATTTAAAAAAAAAAAAAAAAAACAGAGAGGAGCTATTAAAACAGAGAGGAGCTATTTCTTAGGTGTGGAAGACATACAGGAAGGAGTAGCCTTTATTAGGCTACAGGAGAGAGGGAGTGGGGCAAGAGGAATAGAACCTTTGCTCTATTTTCTAAACTAAAATACTTGATGATGCATTCTCATTTAGCTAGGTTAGTTAACTTGGAAGTTACTCCTCTTTAGTTTCATTCCTTTCTCATATACTTAAAGATTATCAATTGTGTAGATTATTTGCATGAATATGTTCATATATGTAACTTTTAGTAAATGTGTAATCATTTTGTATGCTAATAACGTATTTCTTAGAAAATTTTATTTCTTGTTAGGTATCTTCAAGTCAGCTCCAACTCATAGCAACCCTATGTACAACAGACCAAAATAGTGTCTGGTCTCATGCAATCCTCACATTTCCCACTATGCTTGAGCATGTCATGGTAGCCATTGTGTCAATCTGTCTTGTTGAGGGTGGTCCCCTTTTTCACTGACACTCCATGTTACCAAGCACTGTATCCTTCTCCAGGGAATGGTCCCTTCTGACAACATGACCAAAGTAGGTGAGACAAAGTCTGGCCATTTTTGCTTCTAAGGAGCATTCTGGCTGCACTTCAGGGACAGATTTGTTGGTTCTTCTGGCAGTCCAGGGGATTTTCAGTGTTCTTCACAAGCACCACAATTCAAAGGCTTCAACTCTTCTTCAGTCTTCCTTATTCAGTTTTCAGCTTGCACATGCATCTGAGGTGACCGAAATATCATGGCTTAGATTAGGCACAACTTAGTCTTCAAGTGATAGCTTTGCTCTATAGCACTTTAAAGAGGTCTTTTGCAGCACATATGCCCCTTGAAATATGACATGTGATTTCCTGACTGCTGCTTCCATGGGTGTTGATCTCAGATCCAAGTAAAATGAAATCCTTGATAACTTCAGTATTTTCTGTTTTCATAATGTTGCTTATTGGCCCACTGTGAGGATTTTTGGTTTCTTTATGTTGAGGTATAATAATCCATACTGAAGACTGTAGTCTTTGATCTTCATCAATGAGTACTTCAAGTCATCTTGTTGAGCAAGCAAGGTTGTGTCATGTCCATACTGCAAGTTGTTAATGAGTCTTCCTCTAATCCTGATGCCATTTCTCCTCCTTGGATTATTTGCTCAGCATACATATTGAAAAAGTATGGTGAGAGGATACAACCCTGACACACACCCTTCCTGATTTTAAACCATGCCATATCCCTTGTTCTATTTGAACAGCAGCCTCTAGGTCTCTGTACAAGTTCTTCATGAGCACAATTAAGTGTCCTGGAATCCCCATTCTTCACAATGTTACCCATAATTTCTTTTTATCCACACATCCAAATGCCTTGGCATAGTCAGTAGAACACAGGTAAACATCTTTCTGGTCATCTTTGCTTTCAGCCAAGATCTATCTGACATCAGCAAGGATATCCCTCATTCTTCATCCTCTTCTGAATCCAGCTTGAATTTCTGGAAGTTCCCTATCAATATACTGCTGCAACTGTTTTTGAATTATCTTCAGTAAAATTTTACTTGTGTGCTATATTAATGATTTTGTTGTATAATTCCCACATTCTGTTGGATCACCTTTCTTTGGAATGGGTACAGATTTCTATCTTTTCCATTCATTTGGCTAGGAAGGTTGTGTTCTAAATTTCTTGACATAACCAGTAAGCACCTCCAGCACTGCATCCATTTGTTGAAACAATTCAATGGGTATTTTGTCAATTCCTGGAGCTTTGTTTTTCACCAATTCATTCAGTGCAGCTTGGATTTCTTCCTTCAGTACCATTGGTTCTTGATCATATGCTACTTCCTGAGATGACTGAATGTCCACCAATCTTTTTGGTGTAGTGACTCTGTTTTCCATCTTCTTTTAATGCTTCTTGGATCATTCAATATTTTGCCCTTAGGATCCCTCAGTATTGCAATTCAAGGCTTGAATTGTTTCTTCAGTTCTTTCAGCTTGAGAAATGCTGAGCGTGTTCTTCCCTTTTGGTTTTTAACTTCCAGGTCTTTGCACATTTCATTATAATACTCTACTTTCTTCAACTGCCCTTTGAAACCTTTGGTTCTGATATTTTATTTCATAACTTTTTTTTATTCCCTTTAGCTACGCTACGTTCAAGAGCAAGTTTTGGAGTCCCTCCTGACATCCATTTTGGTCTTCTCTTCCTGTCTTTTTAATGACCTTTTGCTTCATGTATGTACTTTAGTAACAGCATTTAAACATCAAGGAGACAATTCTGAAAATATAATTGCATTCTTAAAGAAGATAAATTTCTGTGATTATTCTTGATTTTTTAATGTTAACTAACAATTGACTTTTTATATTTGCTTTTCTTCTAGAAATAATTAAAAGGAACTATTTCTGACAAACTGTTCAATAATTTAGTCTTAAAACTTATGATTTATCTTAAATGTTGCTTTTCTCAGGTTTAGTTTGCCCCACCAAATTGTCTTAGATACAAAAGTCATAATTTATTTCCATATGCAGTGAGTATAAATTTTACACAGCAACAAAGTTAATAGGAAAAGGATATATGGTAGTGGCTAAGAATTTAATGTGAACATGATGGAGAAAACACCATGTTTGACTTCTTTGTTTTGATGTCTTTCTTCAAAGAGAAAGGACTACAAAATGGAGTGGCTAGAACAAAAACATTGAGAAAACTGAAGTCCAAATAGTGAAGGAAACATTTAAATCAAATATACATGTAAACAGTCCAAACTTGGAAACAGCAGCTTTTCCAGTACTCATATACCCTTCAATATATATTCTGAGCTAATGGGTAAAGAGCATGACAGAAGTTATTAGAAGGCAGAAACTACTAGTAAAATTGGGGAAAAAATTCAATACCTTTTACTGAGTTCAAGTCTCCAAGCCCAGATAAATCATATTTCTAAAAGCACTTGATTTATAATTGCCTGAGGAAAAGAAATTAGCACATCCTGCTACGTGCCAGGCCTTTCAACGCAAAAGTTTTTATCATTTGTACCTAGTGACATGTGGGATGCTTTATTTTATGTTAAATCAGACAGTTATCTTAGGTTTTGTTTGGTATTCTGTATTCAGATAAGGTTGAGACTCAGATGGATTTTTTTTTTAAGTAATTGCTCAAAATCATAGAGTAGACAGCACCAGTTCTGTCAAAGTTCTACTAGGGTACCTCCAGGATGATGGAAAATATGTAAATTCATCTTTGTGAACATTATAAAAAGGTGGATGAAAATATAGCATGTGTATGGTCATAGGCATCATTTAAGTCATTAGGCTTAAATAGATTTTGAAAACTTCTTTCAGAGCTTTTAGCGCCCCATTATAATCCTGGCTTAGGGTAGGCTTTGGTACAAATAACTACACCACCTTTCATTTATGTACTAATTCTCTTATAATCCATGTCACTTTTTTTTTTTTTTGAGATACAAGTTATAAACGAATGGTGTGGAATGAGGTTTTGTTATGGTTTTTTTCCTCAATTTTATTTGTAGTTTCTGCCTTCTAGTAACTTCTGTCATGTTCTTTGCCCATGTGCTCAGAATCTATGTTGAAGGGTATATGAGTACTAGAAAAGCTGCTGTTTCCAAGTTTGGGATTGTTTACATGTATATTTGGTAGAGGGCCCTTGTTTGTATTTAAGCATATGGAGAAACATGTCATTTAATTCCTTTGCCAAACTTTCAAGGTGGTAATTCTATTATAGTCCATTCTCTGATTTGTTGGTTGTTAACTTTTCAGTGTGTTAAATATTTTCACCCTTTTTTTCTTGAGAAAAGTGTTACAATGAGCAGGTATTGTTTTTTTTTTTTTTTTTTCCAGAAAATTTGGAAGAATGTCTAGGTTAATTTTACTAACAATATGAGGAAGATTGTACCTAAATTATATATTACATATTAGCCTTTTAGACTCTCAGTTCAAGAGAGTCTGTAGTGTTGATACATCAAAGTAACCCTCTCATTTGGGAAAAATACACAGGAGCGTCAATATGCAAGTAAGCCAGCAGCAGGCAAATGACAGCAACCCTTTATAGTCTTTCTAGTCTCATTACTTTTCTAAGATAATTTTCTTCTTGGGAGCCAGCAGTCTTTCTAGCAAAAAAAACCTGAGAAAATAAATTCAGAGTTTGGATAAAGAAATCTCTGTGTGGGCTGAATAGGCACGAAGGACACAAGAATAGGATAACCACAGGGAGGAGCCGGAGGAGAGCTGTTACACTAGGGGGAAAGTAACCAGTGTCCCAAAACATTAACTGCTGAATGTAAAACGAATCTGCTTGGTAAAATTTCACCTAAATCACAGTAAGTTTGAAAAAGAAATCTGTGTAAAATAATACTTTTTTTCCCAGTAAAATGAAAATTTTTCTGTTAAGTTATAAAATTAATATATTATCATGGTCCAAAACTTGAGAACAATAAATATGTAAAGTAGAAATAAATTTGGTGTATACTTTTCTAGGTTATTTCTTCAACAAAAATGGGATTGTAGTATGTAAATCATATTTTAGGTAGCTTTTTTCACTTGGTGTAATATATTGTGCGTATCTTGCCATGATAGTACCTGTATATTTTTTTCACCTACATATTGGCAGGGAGCTCTGGTAGCGTAGTGCCTAAGGCACTTGACTGCTAACCAGAAGGCTGGAGGTTCAAACCCACCAGCCACTCCTTGGAAGGAAGATGGGGCAATCTACTTCCGTAGTGATACTGCCTCGGAAACCCAATGAGGGGTCAC